CTGTTGATACGTGTGGGTAGGTTCGCCAAATTTCACAGATACATAGCTAAAGGTACTAGCCTCCAAATGGTATAGTAGCCCGCTGCCCTATCCCCTTTGCTTTTCTGCCATTCCTCTATATGTCTCGGCACTTTTGAATGGGATGACCTAATAGTAGGTCTCAGACCTGCGTAGTTCATCCCAATATTCTATTCTCTAGAAGGTTGAGTTGCAGCACCGTCTACTATGGGGAAAAAACGCTTCACTGAATGCGTTAACTAAGGGTGGAGGGTAGAACCTTCAAAAGCAAAGGCATCCTGTTCTAAAATGTTTTGGTCTGAGTCAATATGTGTTTCGCATAGCCCAACTCACAGCAAAAGCAGAAGAAGACAAAATCAACTAAGCATCCGTTTGCTCACCTTGAGGGCTGATGAATGCCTAGTTCACTCATCCAGTTTTGCCCTTTCCTAATAGTTACTTTTTCCGTTCACTTGAGTTTCTATCGATTTGCTCATTTCTTTGTGCTATTGGCTTCGCTTGAGGAAATCGAAAGAGAACGGGGGTTTCTGAGAAGAGCCGATGAAAGCTCCCAGAACATGAGCGAACCGCAAGGTCAAAGGCAACTCTGGTGGTAGACCATCGGAAAATTATAGTTAGTGTGGTCGAAAAGAAAAATGCATGTGCTGGTTGACTGGACCGTAAAAAAAGCACCGATTCCGTCGAAAAGCTTCAAATAAGGTCCTCATTGTTTGAAGCGATAGGCAGAAAGAGGATTACCAGGTGGAGAATAGTCAAGGGCAAGAAAGACATGTTAGAAGAGCTGGTATTTATAAAGCGTCGTGGAAACCATGTAATGTTTATAGAACAATTACAGTGAAAGATGCTTCTGCTGAAGTTTGAATGAAGAGGTTATTTTTGATTAGGAATCGTACAGCCATAAAAAAATTAGAGCTGGCTGTTTAGGGAATGCAGAGGATGATTTGGGATGACTTTATAATTATCTGACGCCAATGAGCAGCAGCTTGGCGCCGCGGTTTTTTTTTGCCAAAATCGATGTGCTGGGCATATTTGGCGTCTTGTTAGCGACTTTCAGAGCCTACGTAGGACACTCTGGTCCTTTTTCAAGGTTGAGCCATAAGACATCAGTCCTCCCTAGGGCTCACCTTAGCAGTACGCTGGTTGGCGTCAACACCGGTAAGTGTATGTCATGTGTATTAAGTACTGATAATGAGTAGCCGCTAAGGTGGAGCTCCAGAATTTTTTCTTGGGTATTTCCATAAAGTGAGCCAAGTAAATGACAAAGTCATGAAAAAAGTGCACAAGACACCCTGCGCGAGCACTCAGTACAGAGCACAGCATCCTTGTGCGATACCATCAATGGGATCGTATTTAGGCTCCCAAAAAGCGAATAGTGGATGGTAGAAGAGGTTGTTAAAGCAAGGGAAGAAGTTTGATTGTTCGCAGGTTGTTGAACACCACCACTCTTGTTAGTTACACCCGCTACAGCGGTGAAATCCTTCCGAATGTTCCCTGCTATTTTGATCCGTAAAATTTTCTGTGATTTCATGAGGCTCTCGGGGTTGTCTGCGTCTCTTCCACCCTATCATATGTCCACCTTGTTGATAATCTCTCATTTCCTGCTTTTTTGCATGCTTGAGTTTGTGCCGTTGAGGAAAGATGCATTGGTTGTTTTGCAGACCTGAGGACGAGTTCGCGGTTGCAGAATAAACTATTGGACGAGTTTTCTTCGTATAAAATAATAAGAAACAACAACGAAGCGATAAAAGTGATCCACGTGATATACTGTTAACCACCGAGTGGTAAGAGGGAGCAGGCAAAATGCTTTCAAAGATATCTGAAGACTTTATAGCCAACAACTGCACAACAGAGGCGTAGTGCTTTTTCTGTCGCTGCCTTGCTGTGAAGGAAGACGGTCATAGTGCAAGCGCCTTACAAAAGCTCTCTCTATGGCTTAATTCTCCCGTGGATTACTTCAATATCTTTGAATAAAGAGAGCGGCGGAATGTAGTAAAGAAGGAGTTCGCCATGATGTCATCTAGAAGAGCTCTCTCTCACGAAACAGTGACCGCGATAAAACTTATAGGCCTTCACACAGATGGTAAAGTGTCCCCATTGTCCCTGGTTGCAACATCGGCATGATGTCGAATGTTTGGTTACTTCGGCCAAACGAGGTTGTCGGACGAAACCTTTTCATTGGCCCTAAATTTCGACCTCTTCTCCGTCTTCTCTCAGAAGGTTTAGAATGGACCCAGAAGCTTTCTAAATTGTCAACCCCACGTCTACGCGACTATCAACCCGATAACCGCTTCCTAAACATCCGACCAAGCAAGCAGCGTCGCGAGAAGACGCCGGAAACGCTAGAGTGGGGAAGGCGCTTAGCCGGGTGGGTGACGAGTTAGAAGCTTCGAGTTATTCTTAGGCCCCCGAGGAAGACGAGAAGGTCGAAATGAAGTAAAAAGATTCCGTCTAAAGGACCTGCGGGCGCTAGACGTAACTAAACACGGATGGTAAAAAAAGGACATAGGCATCCAACGGTAAGCAGGCGATGTGTTGTGCGTTTCAGGGCAAATTCTCAGAATCGCGAATTCAGTTTCTGGTTGGGAATATGACAGAAGAATCGTGATTCGCCGCACTGGTAGGCGTCGCTTCTAGGTGGTAGGACAATGTATGTTAGTAATGTCATGGTTTACACGAAATCCGTGCTTCAATCGAAGGCACAAGCTGGTGAACAGGAGAACACCGCTCCAATCGCATGTAATTTCTGTAATGAAATTTTCATTTAAAGTACCCATCTACAGGGGGGGGAGGCAAAAAAGACACTTTGGCTGAGTCAGTAAAGTTTACGCAGCCCAGACAGAAGACGTGGATACGAGTACCAGGGCGGAAGATACCCAAGATGTTCCTCGATAAGCAGGAGCAGGCTCTCGTCCATCACCTTCATGTACCAAAATATGAAGCCATCTCCAATCGCAGCCGAACTGAAGAAGGCCTATGGAATTCACGTCACCTCCAAACAGCTGCGAAACTTCTTGTATCGAGTCACCCATGGACAGCTACCTGGGGACCAGCACTCTTGATCTGGAAGACCTCCAACATCGAGCAGCTCCGACAACGTCGCTACATGGTCCAGGATATCATCTTCACCGCAGTCGCCAAGACGCGGGTTGAGGTATGGACCGTAAGTTCTTGGAATGGGAAGACCTTCTTTGCATTCGTGGACTCCGGACTGAAAGTATCGAACAGCTCGAGGAGAATATCCTGCCTTGGAAACTTCGTACTGCTACAGGATTGGGTGCCAGCGCGGGAATCGAAGGGCGTTGAAAGAAATATCTCCTATTAAGTTGTCCGGAAAGTTTTGAGAAAATTTCACACGTAATGTTTGAAGAAGTGTAGCGAGCAAATGCCTCAACATAAAATCATATATTAAGCGCTATGAGAAAGAGAGAATGTTTGTAGAATAATTCTAATGCTGGTCGGCGTTATTCTCCATTGTTGGTATGATTTAATATTACCTGAAAAACGTGCTAGTGCACACGATTCCCGAGCCTTCTGATTTGTCTTCACCGTTCTGGCTGCCCTTTCGGTCAAATCGGGAGGCACCGTCACCAATGCTAGATAGAAGAGACTTGGAAACTACCTGTGAAAGGAGATGGATCGGTCTCTTATATGGAAGTTTAGCTTAGATGTTGTGTACGCCCTCGCGTCCTCGCTGCTCACTTCATTCTTGCGACCACGCAATGTAATCCCGCCCAATAGTTAGAGGAAATGGGATGGACAACGTTTATTATAAGTATGAATTCCTATCTCTTATTGTTGTTGATAAATGTTGAGCTGATTGAAATTCTATCTCAAATACTTCGGTTACCTTTTAATACTTGGAATGAATGGGCGTCGAGTACTGAAGAAGAATCAGAATTTCGAGTGTTGCACTGACTATATTTCCCTCTGATTACGCGGTTTCTTAGGCGACTGCTTCAGCAGGGGATCTAATCAGGCAGCGCGAGAAACTCAATTCCTGTCCGTTTCTCTCTCTTGTGTAATACTGTGTACGCCTATCCGAATCAAGGTCGCGTGGCAGAATCTCTCGATGACGCTCGTCCAGAAGGCTGTGGCGGAGTGTCACGATAGTGTACAATGTGTTGCTGAATTTCATGGTAATCAGAATCTAATAGTGAATCTAATAAGGTGTCACTTATTCCGCTTTGGAGGTCGCGGAAGAGAGGTGTCTTTTTTGCCCCTCCCCCTCTTGTGGACTGACTGCAGCATGCATCCTCGCTGGTTGCTGAATCCCTCACGTGAGGAGTTTTCCGAGTAGCCGTACATCCCAATGCAACTGTAGAAACCAGCCCTAGTCAGTGCCCGTTACACGCTCAAGAATATCCAGAGCGCATTTGGTCGGTAGAGAGGGAGATCGTATTTGCTCTGAGAATTTTTTATAGTTGAATTTTTTGTTTCGCGCTCTCTGTGTGCTTTATTGGACGCTCAACTGCAGTTTTTTCTCAGTTTCTCACTGGAAAATTCCCTGGAGAATTGGGAGAAAGTGGCAGGGATTACAGAAAAGTCAGAAATTCTGTAGGGTGACAGGCAGGATAAGGGATCGGGTCTCACCGGATGAGGAAGTCTGGTGGGCTCTACTTTGCCAAAATATGCTCCAGCGACAGAACATTTCCTGGCTTTAGTCTTAGGGACCACATAAGAGTGGCCGGGCGTGAACCTCAACTTTCATGTGTAGTTGTGTTGGATGTGGGTCATGACTCCCGCTCAGACCATGCGACACCCATGCACTTGTCGCGCGCCACGACTGTTGACGGTTGAAGCATTACCGTGCCATTTTGAAACCATGAATGAGTTACCTGGTTGTGAGTTACTTTATCAGAACTTGTTCTATCAGTCATTGGAGTGGCTTGCATTGTGATATCTTCTGTATGAAGCTCAGTCTGGCCATAAAACAAATACAAATACATTTATTGAGCATTATTAAGGAGATGCTGTACATATATTTATGATTTCTTGAGGTCTGTTTCCACATTAATACAGTACTTAACCGTTTTTGAACGCAGTTTACTGTGAGTGTTATCGAAAACGAATTTGTACACACCGGGTTCTTCGGCAAGGATCTGAAAACATCACCGTTGGCGTTAAAACTCCAGAATAGAAAAAAGACTTTACTTTGTCACTGAGGTATGCTGCCCCTATGCCTGGCCTTACCTGTCCGTCCTCCGGTACGAACTCAGTCTGCAGTCTGAACTTTGGATACACCATAAAATCGTCACTGTGTTCCGCAACCTTTAAAATTTAATCGAGTGAAAATCCTCAATATTTAATCGATCATTTTGAATGAACTGAAACCTTCTCTCGTCCAGGAGCAGCACGATAGATTGCGAATGATATATCGTTCGAATCCAGTCGCCACCACCATGTTATTTTCCGCCCGCTTTCATAACCTAGACAGTCAGAGAGAATGTTTGACAGTATTTCCGTCCTTGAGAAATTACTAATAAACTGCGAGGGAGCTAAGGAACTAGCAGGGTCGTTTTTTTCTCGATAGAAAAGGGGGAGGGGAAATTAACGTTATCGCTTTTGCCCAGTCAGACACCTCTAGTACCAACTTGTCAACCTTTTGACCTGCTGGGTCCTACTTTGGGGTCGACCCTGAACAAGGAAGTTACGAATTGCGTATTAAGGTCTTTATCCTCTTTTCATGTTGGCACCCTTATTTCACACTAGCATTTCACGAGAAAGAAATAACATTTCGAGTTATATTCCGCTTTTAAAGGCCTAGTCTGCGCCGATCGAAAAGCGGAGCCAGGCTCACGTCTATGATCTCTTGTTGGTGCACTCCCCTTTCTGTGACAATGGAGCCAAGCAACGCATCATCGAGGAAGTCACAATTCCAAGGCCATCTCCGCCCCTACGACTAGCGTGGACCGCGCCTTAGGGTAAGTTGGTAGGCTGATGGCAACTCCACCGTTCGCTGCCTTCGGAGGCGAGACTGCGAGAGTTCATTCCACTAGTGATCTTGCATAACGGAAAAAACATCCTAGTGTTTCCTTCACTTGGAAACATCAAATTATATTAGATTAGGGCATAAGATTCTGCCAATTTTTTTCGGAGTTTACCTGAGGCTTATAAAACTTTTTGTTCACGCAGAGAGACTATCATGCATCCAAAAGCTTGAAGAAACCCTTCTTCTGAGCCTCGCTGAGGAAAAAAGGTCTGTGTAGTGGGCACGGTGTTAGATGGATTCCTCTATAAGATAACCTAATCATCCCCTTCATTCCTTCGCCCCCAATGCATCGCCTTCGGAAAGTCTCAATATTCCATACATGGATAGCTCATGAAATTGCCGCTCAGCAGGCATGTTCACGATGTTCCAATGCAATTCCAATGCAATTTTCGATTTTTAGTAAACGTTTGAAGAATGAAGTCGCTGTGACTGAAAAGTAAAACTGCTTTTTATGGTCAACGCACCGCCAAGGACAGTGCAATGTGCTTTATTGTAAGCGTTCAAGAAATTGCATGCTGGCATTGAGGATATATTATACTACTGGCCCCAGTTATAACCGGACTGAGTCATGGAAGAACATCGATGAAAGCAGTGAAATGCTTGCCTTCTCCATGATGATGTGCCACCTCAAGTCACAGATATTGATTTTAGAGTAGGGTAGAGTCTTGTCCGCTGCAGGTGATGGGGCATGTGAGCGAAGTTGGGTTTGGTACGCTCCAGTCGCGCTTCTCCAGCCAGGTGAGTACACGAAACGGTGGTGAACGACTGATACTACGAATGAAATTTCTTGTCGAAATGTGGCCACTTGTGCCAACAACATAATGGTTGGCAAATTCTGTGCGACCTTGCCCCACGAAAATGGACACATTGCAGGCGCTCCAGCGCACAGTAGGTGCAGTAGAGTTTTCACACTGCCAGTTACTGCTGCGCTTTCATATATCGGATCCATTAGAGACAGCCCCGCGCTCAAGTAGTACATGGTCGTCCTTCATTATGCAGGTAGATCAGCCCCCAAGCTAGACACTGTCCCACTCTAGCGACTCCACAGTGAGCGAGGAGCGAGCTACAACCGTTCAAAGTTCTAGTTCTAACGCCCGCTCAGTTGGACCGCCCCACTTGCTAGCTGCCCTCTGACGGAGAGCCGCTCAGTTGTTCTTTGTTGGGACGGCGGGCATTAATCGGAACTGCATGTACTTTTTGCTGACGCGCAGCGCCCAATCGAGTGATTCTGCCTCTCCTTTATTACATTTTATTGTCTAGAGCAACAGAAAGTCAAACTGCAAACCTATCTCGTAAGATAAAAACGCGTAAAATCAACGATGATGCAATTTGCTGTGGTGCAAAAAGTACTCGGACATGCCACCAAAAGCTGCCAACAGCTCGCTAAACCCGAGCTCGTAAACCGAATTCGGACGCCAGGTTTTTGAATTTTTCCTTTTTTCAAGTGTTTTTCGTTCGTGTCTTTGTTGTTTTTCATATTGTTTTCTTTGAAATGGATGTTGTCCACTACTGGGAAATGCCATAAAGCGATTTGTGAGCCAGGGGTTGCCCACGGACCGCAGGGCGGTGTAACTGTAAGGGAGCAATTTTGTTTGTGGTGTTCTTGAGGGCTCTTGTTGCTTTTTTCCTTCATTGAGGAATTACTTATCAGCTACTGTTTCATAATTGATCAGCAATTATCCTTGACACTTTTATCGCGGGAGCTGTCTTTAAAGACGTTATCTGTGGGAAAAGATATCGATTGCGTTGCAATAACACCTCCAAAACTGTCTAGAACTTGAGAAAAGCCACAACTAACCTTCAACTTCAACAGGAACAAATTCCACCGATCTAGCCGAGATGACTAACTTCCGGAGCTTATCGGCAGGTAAATCACAGGAAGAATCGTATCTGAATACATCATATCAAAGTACAGCCCTGAGAGCTAATTCCTATGATTTACCTAAGATCCAATGGTACCTTACCACCTGTTCGAACATGACCATATGGCGTTTCCGATTTCCGCGTACCTCCCCAATTCTCATACAACACCTCTTCTCCTATTGCTTCCTAAAGAAATAGTATAAGTGAAAGGGCGAACTTTTCAGCCCAGTTTGCAGGCTTTCTGTGGTCTCTAATGAATGAAAATCCTAGTAGAAGGGCAAAAATGAGCAGCTTACCCTTAACACGTCCTTCCAGTTTTCTCCAAGGATTTTAATTTTTTGTTGAGTTTGTTTCGCTAGACATGGCGATACCATTCCCCAAAGTATTTGAATGAAAGACGGCGCATTTATTACAAACACTTTTCGGATGACGTCAGGGAACATTTCCTGAAAAAAGTGAATTCAAACTACGCCAGCAGCATAGTTTACTGGGTAAATCTTCCGTATTCGTTCATTAGACTACAAGCTATGCCACTCCCCCCCCCCCCCCCCCACCAAAATTCAAATTTTTGACGTTAACCAATTTTGTTGGAAAAACGGCTAGTGCCACGAGTTTGATTGTAAATAAACCCTGACAGGAACAATTTTGATCAGTTTTGTTGGTTCGGGAATCCAGGGTCGAAGAAACGAGAAAATAGCCATTGCAAAAGTACACAAGAGCTGGCTGTATTCTTGGCAAACCTTTACTTATTACTGATGGTAACACTACGAACTACTAGCAAAGCGATAGGGCGCCCAAGACTAGTGGACTTAGAGGCCCACCTCGACGGTTTTATCGCGTCAAAGAGTATATTTGGTATATCCTCAACCAGTTTTTTTTGCGATCCCCGAGTAATCTCATTCAGATAAGAAAGCGCGTATAGTTCAGCGCAAACCGAACAAGCCTGCTGCCGCAACTGGGAGTCCTGACCCATACACATGCGGAGCCCATTAGACTGCAACACCACTGCTCGAATAGGCTTTCATAAGCAAGAGATCTCAACCACCCCTTCCCCCTCCCCGACCAGTGCATCATCACCTGGATTATGCAAGCTCTTCTTGTGCGAAAACAGTAATAGAAATTTGGGGCTAATAGAAGAACAACGCCATATGTGCAGTACCATATAACTCATGCAGAGCACCAT